CCCCAAAACCCCAAAACCCCAAAACCCCTTGAGGCCAGAATCTACTTGATGGGAGAGAGTGTGTTAAGTTACTATAAATTCTTAGGTTTTATGAATAAATTAACAGAGAATGAAGAGAAATTTATTCAATATCTAATTAAAATTAATTTCTGATAGAGTTGTTATATTCAATTTAAGTCTTAAAATGTCTGACTTAATTTACTTCATATACTCCTAATTAAAGATCTATCGATCTAGGATTTTAATTTACATAGAAATTTCATTCCTAAGATAAATTATTCATCGTCTCCAATGATTTTCTGTAGACAAGGATTGCTTTCTTCATTGTATACAGATTTGAAATGATTGAAAAGTAAAATGAATGATTCAGACTCAAATAGTTAAAGCAAATTTTTGTCTGTGTAGAGGTATAAACTATTATGGATCTTTTCTATACTCTATAATTCATCATTTTCAGTATATATCTATTTCATAATCTTGAGATAGAACATCGAGCCAAGCAAGATTTCAAGCTCTTGGGTGATTCTTTTCTGTCTGAGATCAGATTCATTGATATTAGGCTGCATATTTGTTAAAACTAAATATTCTCTGACTTTTTAGATGAGAAATTAAGGGCCTTATTTTTTCTTTGATTTATTGTAATTTGTTAAGGTCAGGAATTATTTCAAATAATATTTCCTAATTTTTCTTAGAGTAGTTTTGACTAGGACATCAATGCGCTTGATACCTAATTATACTAGACATTCTCGCTTAAATTTCTCAAATGAAAACTTGTGGGCCTTCTATGAATTTCTTAACAAACAATCTCGTTGATTTTGTGTCATATTCGTGTGAGGGATTTAGATTTATATTTCAATGGAATCATTATTACAATCTATTGAAAGTGAGTTATCTTTATGTGGCATTTCCTCCTCCTTTGGACTTTGAGAGCAACTTACAGGCAATTAATGCATTTAAATTAGCTCTCCTGCAGTAATATTAATCAAAAGAGGTCTTGAATTCGCGGATTATAAATCCTGCAAATTCTTAGCTATAATCGGAAAATCATCATTCTTATCCAAGAAATGATCTTAATTTTTAATGTAGTACTCATCGAATCCGTATGATCCAGAAGTGAAATCAAATGCATTATTCATAGTAATGGCATACTTAGGACTGAAAAAATTGGTTTAATTTAGAAAGTCTGTGAAGTCGTCAAGGTCAGATGCGAGGTTAGTATTCAAGCTTTACATCTTTAAATAAGGATATTGGTTGATTTATTAAATTAGTAATCATATAGAAATAGCTACCAATTTAACTCAATCACAAATTATTCAATATCTAATAAAATTAAAAGCTAATTCATATGAAATTCAATTCTATCTTATGGGGTTTTGGGGTTTTGGGGTTTTGGGGTTTTGGGG